TGTACAGTCTGAAAAACTCACAGCGACATGCTTTCAATCCCACAGAGCAGGCATGGGCAAACTTCAATTATCTGGGTGTTTTGGACCTCAACTCCCACAACAACGCCTGCTTTATGAAAAAGGAGCAAAATCCCTTCTTTGCATCTCAGGATCTTGGACAGGAGGTAACACATAAGCCAGAATCTCTGTATAGATTAATGCTGAGCTTCTACGTCTGCATCATATTGATTGGCTTTCTTTTTATCGTGATAGAGAGTCTCATCCCAAGTCAGCGGATCTCAACCTGGGGGTTGCGACCCCCAGGGGGGGTCGCCTGGCCATTTCAGAGGGGTCACGAGGGCGCCTCCATGGGCCCCGCCCCAAGGGCACGGGCCAGGCGAGAGCTCCTTCGCACGAAGCCTGGCCTTCTGCAAAGCCCCCTTGCCTGCCTCGCACTTTCGCCATCGTCAGGACCACTGAGCAGGTCGCAAGGGGGGTGTCAGATGGGTCACCAAAGACCATCTGAAACACAGTATTTTCCTTTGACCATGGGGCTTCTGTGTGTTAAGTTTGGCTCAATTCTATCATTGGTGACGTTCAGAATGCTCTTTGAGTGCAGGTGAACTGTAAATCCCAGCAACTATAGCTCTCAAATGTCACGGTCTATTTTCATCAAACTCCACCACTGTTCACGTTTGGCCATATTGAGCATTCATGCCAAGTTTGGTCCAGATCGATCATTGTTTGAGTCCACAGTGCTCTCTGGATGTAGGTGAAACACAAAACACAACGCCCATCATATCCTTCCAGTGTTTTCTATTAGTAATGGGAGTTCTGTATGCCAAGTTTAGTTCAATTTCATCATTAGTGGAGTTCAGAATGCTCTTTGATTGTAGGTGAACTATAAATCCCATCAACTACAACACCACTGTCCTAAATGATTTGCACCAAGTCTTTATAATCTCTGCTAGGGAGAGTCTCCTCGGTGTGTACCAACGCACACACATACACACCCTATGGCCAAACTGTGTCCGGCACTTGCCCAAGAAATTCACCACCTTAAATCTAGGAAGGTGTAATGGAAATTGATACCCTTATCTGGCAAGGAAGAGGGCAAAGTTCCTTAGGAGTAGCTGGCAGAGGGGCAGGCACTCCTGGTTCCACTTTCTCCTTCCATGTAAGTATGTGTCGAGGATCGAGGGGAAGAAGCAAATTAACCAGCATTCCTTGAAGTGTGCATGTGTGTGTGTATGTAAACACACTGACTCTGCTTTTCCTCCGCTTGTAAGCATGTAAAGTTGGAATATCAACAACTTATCCTTCATTCTATTGCAATGTTGATTTTGGTGCCTTCTTTTAGCTATACTGAGCTTGATTGAAATCGTAACCCGACTTGAGTTCCTAATTACGGGGGGAAATATAAATAAAGGTAACGCAAAGAACACCTAACTATATTTGATTTCCTGGGTGGAGGTAAGGCTTGTTTGCTAGGAGGGAAGGTCCATGGACTGAGCTGGATTTACTCCCAAGTAAATACGCACAGTGCTCCTTAAATGCAACTGCCATGGCTGGGAAAAGCGTCCTTTATCTGGTCATGTACTTTTTTCCCTATTCCTGTTTTTATTACATTTTCACCATCGGGAACTTTGCTCTCTTTTCCAACCCGTTTATGCGCATGGCTGCCGAAGCCGAAAAATAGACTTGCATTGGTAATTATACCTAATGGCCAGCGCAGGTTTTATGTTTGCATTACAAAGTGCTTTGGGCCTGTTTGCCTCCTGAAACTGAAACGAATGCTCTTTCTTGTTTGTGAACAATATATTTCTGTTTCACCTTCATAGTGGTCAGTTCAAGCCTTTAGATACAGAAAATAATTGCCGTACAGTCAATTCGTCAAAACTCCCAAATGGTTCCCCCCGCTTTTTTCCCCTTTATTTTTTGTTAATTATTTGACATAATCTCATACATAATCAGAATATATATATATATACTCCCAAATGGTTTTAAGCCAGACATTCATATATTCCTTTTTCTTGCTGTCGAGGCTTTGCTGTATTTGGGCAGAACTGAGGGCTCAGAATTGCCCAAAGGTTGCTACTGAGGCTGAGAGAGTGTGTCTTGAGGCTAAGGAATCCACCTAGATAAATAACCACAATTATTACCATTTCCAATAATTTTCAAACCATTTCTTGCTGTTGAGACTTTGACTGCCATTGATCTTAACTGGAGGCATACAATGTTTCCCAGATTGCGTCCAGACATTATTCTGGGTTGTGTGGTGCCTTAGGACAGTGTTTCTCAACCTGGGGGTCAAGACCCCTGTGGGGGTCATGAGAAAGTGTCAGAGGAGTCGCCAAAGACCATCAGAAAACATAGTATTTTCTGTTGATCAGGAGTTCTGTGTGGGAAGTTTGGCTTCATTCTATTGTTTGTGGGGTTCAGAATGCTCTTTGATTGTAGTTGAACTATATATCCCAGTAACGACAACTCCCAACTGTCAAGGTCTATTTTCTTCAAACTCCACCAGTGTTCACATTTGGGCATATTGAGTATCTGTGCCATGTTTGGTCCTGACCCATCACTATTTGAGCCCACAGTGCTCTCTGGATGTAGGTGAACTACAACTCCAAAACTCATGGTCAATGCCCACCAAACTCTTCCAGTATTTTCTGTTGGTCATGGGAGTCCTGTGTGCCAAGTCTGGTTCAATTCCATCATTGGTGGAGTTCAGAATGCTCCTTGATTGTAGGTGAACTATAAATTCCAGCAACTACAACTCCCAAATGACAAAATCAACCCCCCCCCAAAACCCCACCAGTATTTCAGGTATTTGTGCCAAATTTGGTCCAGCGAATGAAAATACATCCTGCCTATCAGATATTTACAGGACAATTCATAACAATAGCAAATTTACAATTATGAAGTAGAAATAAAATTATTTTATGGTTGGGGGTCACCACCACATGAGGAACTGTATTAAGGGGTCACGGCATTAGGAAGGTYGTGAACCACTGCCTTAGGAGTCTTTCCTTGTCCTTCTTCTGTCCCTAGGAACAGCCTTTTGGGAYGTACAACGTTTTGACATCGCCAACCACCAYGATGCTTACAGTGAACAGAGGTAAGCAGGGCAAATGTGCTTAAGAAGCTAGAACCAGGCATGGGCAAACTTGGGCCCTCCGGGTGTTTTGGGCTTCCACTCCCACAATTCCTAACAGCCTACCGGTTCTTAGGAATTGTGGGAGTTGAAGTCCAAAACACCCGGAGGGCCCAAGTTGGCCCATGCCTGGCATAATCATACCTGTATCAACATCCCACCTGGTCTGATGTAGGTTTACTTTCTTTCTTTCTTTCTTTCTTTCTTTCTTTCTTTCTTTCTTTCTTTCTTTCTTTTTTTGTTTGTTTGTTTGTTTGTTTTGCTGTCCCTTCCACAGAATTCCAAAACAAGGACGATGCCTACTGTTTTTCCTTAGCCAAGGCTCTCTATTGCGTTGCCACTCCGGTGACGGTTGGGTTTTACGCACCATGGGGACACTGCAAAAACTTCCTCTTGGATAAGATTCGAGGTGAGTGCTTGGAGTTTTATGGTGAAGATGAGTCAAAGGACACTTAAACAGTAATTATACATTACATGCAACATAGATACATCTATGGAGGTATTAACCTATTCTGTCCCCTGAGCTAATTCTTGAGTTGAAGGCTTGACTCAATGGTAGTTCTTGCTTACTTTTTGCCTTGTTTCTGTGTCCTTTCTTGCCTTGCCTTGCCTCCCAGGATTTCTTCAATTTGTAAACACCAACTTCTAGCACCAACTTCTAAATGTGTGATGTGTTTTGCTTCCTAGCTCTTCTGAGCACCTTCTTCCAAATGGCTGGTTTCAAAGAAGCTACTGGATTGGGGGTCTTAAAAGGAAAAGAGCTACCCATGGTTCCCTCCCATAACTATCCAATTAAGAACTAAACCCTTTCTAACCAAGAGAGGCTTAATTAGATAAAATAATAAAATAATAACATGACATTACTCTTGAGCATGGGTCAACATGCTTTTAACTCTTGCTTTGGAGAGACAGATGAAAGAGGGAGGCAAACTGATTTGCCCCAGAACCACCGGCATCCTCTTGTTCTTCTTGGTATTATTTGGCCATCTGTCAGGGGTGATTTGAATACAATATTCCTGCTTCTTAGCAGGGGGTTGGACTGGATGGCCCATGAGGTCTCTTCCAACTCTTTGATTCTATGATTCAATGGTGTATGAGCAATTAGAGAATCATAGAGTTAGAAGAGACCTCGTGGACCATCCAGTCCAACCCCCTGCCAAGGTGCAGAACAATCACATTCAAAGCACCCCCAACAGATGGCCATCCAGCCTCTGTTTAAAAGCCTCCATAGAAAGAGCCTTCGGGGTAGAGAGTTCCACTGCTGAACAGCTCTCTCTTGAATAAACTACTTCAATAGTGTTTCATTAAACTGTTATGAAAGTACTCAGGTGGGGGAAACGATCATAATTAAAACACCATTAAGCAACAAAGCCACTAACACCATGTCACACTAAGTCACTGTAAGACTGAGGTTCAAATCCTTGTCTGGGCATAGAACCCTATAGCTAGGGAAACTCCATCTGATTGAATTCTCCCAATAATATTCCATGATGGGTTCACTACTGAAATGACTTGAAGGTACACACAACAACAAACATTTGAGGAGATATGTTGAGGAGATATGAATGCTTTCATGGCCAGAACCACTATGTTGCTGTGAGTTTTTTTTTTTTACTGTATGGTCATGTTCCAGCAGAGGATGCTTCCAGGCAACAGAGGCCAGGCTACCTCTATGCAGATACTCTCACTGACTGATTTTGCAGCTTCATGGGTACTCGGTGCTATTCAAGTTTGCTAATTGCAACATCAACACTTGCTTTAAACAGACAAGGGTTCTTTCTCTCACCCTGGACATTATTCCACAGATATATATACACTCCACTTGCTTCACTGCCAACAAAATCTCTGAAGATGACATTAGCCACAGATGCAGATGAAACATCAGGAGAGAATGCTGATGGAACATGGCCATACAGCCCACAAAACTCACAGCAACCCATTGGAGAAATACATTTTCATATTTTCCCCTATGAGTTCCTGCATAATCAATGTCCTAAAACTCTTCCTTTCCTCTTCAGAATATATGCGGTATCAATCTTGGAAAAAGGACCAACAGGAATTCCGTCGGACAGGGTTGAAACAGAGAGGGACAACCGGTTGGGACCTGGTCTCCGTCATCCTTCTTATGATCTTCTATCGTCCTGTCCTGACACCCCAACACAGGCAGAGGAGGAACGTCCAGCACATTTTTATTCATTTCAGCGCCTGGGAATATGCCGGGAGTGACCAGCTCTGGGCCGGCCTCATTACGGCTCTATGTGATGGCATCGAGAGTCATTTTGGCCTGGCCCCGATGAGCGTCTACCGAACTGTGGGTCGGAAATGCGGCATTGTTGAGTCATCTCTACCCAAAGAATGGGTCAGCAAGAAGTATCTCTGCCTACCCTTATGGGCTGCGATACTTCTGGTGTTCGGGGTGGCTGTTGTGGTTGCTGTCCTCATCTTTCTATACGGCATCCCAGTCGGCGATGCTTCTGGAGATGCCATCGCAGTGGCCGAGGGTGTTGGGGCCACGGCAGTGGGGATCACAGCGGCAGCAGCAGTCCGGATGGGCGTGATGGTGCTCCGGAATGTGGTGGTCACCCAAAAGGCCCAGCTGGAGAGGCAGATGAACCGGACGGACCTCAGTGCCCAGTTGGGCTTCATGAGCAATGTCAAGAGGGAAGTCAGGATCATCGCCAAGTTCCTCCAGTTCATGGAGATCTTCCAGCGCAGGAAGCTCCGGGTAGTTCTGGAAATCACCAGCTTGGACCGCTGCAGCCCCGACAAAGTGGTGGGTGTCCTGGACGCGATGAACATCCTCCTTTCGGACTATGAGGCCCCATTCGTCTCCATCTTGGTGGCCGACCCGAGCGTGATCGTGGACTGCGTGGAGAACTCACTGTTCATGAAAGGGATGGCCAACAATGGCTATGAATTCCTCAACCGCATCATCACCTTGCCCTTTTCGGTCCCCAAGACGGACCTCAACACCAAGATGCAGCTGATCCAGAGAATCGTTCAATGCAAGGAGGAGCAGGAGAAAAGTTTTGAAGACGATGAGGAATCAGGAGAAAACCTTCCGCTGAAGAACCCGGCTAAAGAGACAAATACGTCAAGAATTTGCTGTTGCTGTAAATCACCTGATCAGAAGATGCCTGGCAGAAACAGAGACAGCTGCCGGGTGCCTTTAGTGGTGGTGAATTCCCCTAAGACGGAAGAGCCACACAACAGAAAATGTGGGAAAGGCTTCAAAGCCAAAGATTTGATCCAAGAGGCCTTTGAGTACTTGCTGGACGACAGCATGAAGGAGTACGTGACAGACAACATGTTGCAAATGAAACGGATCATCAACAGCATCGCTGTCACGGTCCGGCTCATGGCGACGGAGGTTCCTCGAGAGAAGCTGTGTCCACAAAAGGTGACCTCCTGGGTTCTTCTCGCCAACCAGTGGCCCTGCAGACTGAGTTGGATCTTGCAGTGCATCGAGGACGACGAGCAGACGGGCCGCCTTTGCGAGGGCCAAGAGTGCCAGCTCACCCCAGACCTCTTCTTGTGGGAGGTGTACGAGAAGTACATGGAGGAGCTCGACATGCTCAAAGCCCAGCTGGAGAAGCTGCTGGAGCTGGACAGGGACCCGGAACTTTTCCACAACTTCATCTGCGGACGCTTCCGGGTGAAGGACGCCAACTTCTTCCTGCCCTACACAGTCAACCTGGACTCTTCCTTGAAGAGACACATGGAGCTCTTGCGAGGCAGCCGCAGCCTCAAGCGGACCAACAAGAGCCACGGGATTTCCAAATGCATCCTCTTGGGGATGTCGGTAGAGCAGATCTGCAAAGAGGTAAGTGGATATGCGCACAATATGTCAGGGACCACAAAGCCAGCTAGTTCAACCCTTGCCATTCACTATTGAAAGATTTCCACCCAACCTCTGAAGCTGGCCATCTTAAGACATCCCATCTTTAGGTGGGACCTCTTTTCTTGTGATTTCAATCCAGTAGAAAAGATGCTTGCCTCATCATCACCTTTATGACACTCTTTCGGATATTTAAAGATGTCTCTTCATCTCCTCTTCTTCAAGCTCAACATAGGCTGCTCCCAAGGTTTTCCTTATAGGGCTTGGTTTTCAAAACCTTGATAATTTTGCCTTAATTGTTATTCCTTTGTGGCCCATGCTGGGGACAATCGTCCCAAAATGTGACTGTTTCAGTTTCCAACCTTTATGGCTTTCCCTAAATATATTTTTGTCAGATGCCTTTAAAATGTCTTTAAAGTTTCTTTCTCCCCCGTTCTGCCATGCAGAAAGATACAATCAAAGCCCTTTCAACAGATGACCATCCAGCCTGTTTAAAAACCTCCAAAAGAGAATCTATTGGACTCCCAGGCAGCATATTTCACTGTTAAATGGCAGACAGTTGTTGATTTATTATTATTATTATTATTATTATTATTATTATTATTATTATCATCATAAACACAACAAGTTTAGTACACAGCAAACAAGATCGCTATGCTGGCTGTTGTATTGAGTCACACGTCAAACACTTCCCAAGGTACTGCTGTTGCCTGGGATTGCAACATCAACGATCCATACTGACAGTTTTGGAGCACAAGACTCCTGACCTCATGATCGTGTTAAAACACCAAGTATGGATCGTCGATGTTGCAATCCCAGGCAACAGCAGGATTGAAAAGAAACAACTGGAAAAGCTGAAATGATATGAGGATTTAAAGATCAAACTGCAAAGACTCTGGCACAAACCAAGGTGGTCCCAGTGGGGATTGGCACACTGGGTGCAGGCACTGAAATTACCATCTGCCAGCTGCAAAAGGCCACCTTACTAGGATCTGCACGTATTATTTGCTGATACATCACATCGTCCGAGACACTTGGGAAGTGTTCGACATGTGATTCAATACAACAGCCAGCATAACTTTTCCAGGCTTGTGATCCCAGCTGTTCTTTGTCACAGGCAGATGGTATTTGTGGCACAAGTTCCAATGAATCATCTAAGCAATGGTGTTGTGCCTCTGCTTGTAGTTTGTGCAATCTTCTTGCAGCAGCTGCGGATGTGTTCGATTGCTTCCTTACAGAGTCTACATTTGGGATCTGTCATCAACTCTTCAGTTCTGGCTTTGATGGCATTTGTATGAATGGCTTGTTCTTGGGCTGCCAGAATCAGGCCCTCCTTTGTCTCCTTTTTCAAAG